GCTGCGCGGCCGGAGAGGGCAGTGCGGACCAGGTGCAAGCCATCGATGGAGTCCAGTGTACTTGCCACCTGTGTGGCGGCTCAACTCCTTTCCGGTGGGGGCTCGCGCCCTCGTGATTGCTGTGCCATCTAACAATCGCTGCTGGCGGCTCACGCATTCGTGATCGTAATACCATATAGCAGAGATATAGCAATTCACGGTGGTGGCTTAACAACGCTTAGAGACACCAATCACATTTAATGGTAAGGGATAAATACTCGTGGCGCCCTCTGTGACTGTACCCTTTACTGACCTTATTTATTTTTTCCGCAAATCATACAGAGAAAATTACTACGTATGAGCTCGAGAGTGTAAACTATACTTTATATATACATTTTACAGCAACAGAAATTGGAAAAAAAATGAATATTCCCCATGAAACACATAAGACCTAGATGAAAGGTGATATTTAACAACATAGCTTGACGTAGTCAGTATGACGTTAGGTCCGTGACGCGAGATCGAAACCTGAACGAGGTTGGGTGCTGTTTTTCATGCAAATTGTTTTCGTCACGTTTTACAGTTCATAGCAATCGAATAGAATGCATTACAGTTATATAATTTTATATTATTAGTTCAGCATTTCATTATCAGTTTCATCGTCCATAATGTGATTTTAATAATTAATGTGAAATTAATTAAAATCATACAGTAAGGTAACAGAACCAATCTTTCTTATCGTTAGTATTATTATTTAGTTACCCATGTTGCTACTGGTATCTCATTCATTGCAAAAAGTTTAAATTATAATCATCATTTTGACAGTGAATTAATGAGCTCCGATGTTAAAAACCTGTGGGTGAAATATTTGTTCCCTTCTAGGTAATTTTGTTCCAAAATATTTACACTGAAATATTCCAGCTCACTGTAGAACAATGATAATTAACGAAATTTCAATAACATCGTTATACACCGAGCACGTGAGTCGTGAACGACTTGGCTCGCGGCGAAAGATGAAAAAAGATGAAAAAAAGTTTAAAGTACATTGTTGCACCGAAGTCGGCGAGATGCGGGGCATTGGGTTTAGCAGTGGGTGTTCACGTACGGAACTCACATGCAGCAAATCTGGGTGAGTGCGATCGCTCCTAGAAATCTTCGGGCGTCCCAATCGGTCAAGCGCCAAGCTACGGGTCGAGGTGTTGAGGATGCGTGCGTTCGACGTTCACACTCAGCGAGTGCGAGCGAAAAATCCTCTCGAAGCTTACCCAACCGCGATGTAAGCCGAGTAATTTCTCGTATGATGTTTACTTTTCCTTACATAGAATAAATCGATGAAAATTCTAATAAATTGATTTCCCTTTCATACATTTGGTTTTATTTCTTGACAATGGAACAAATTAATTTTACTGGTAGTTAATCAATTTTTGTACTATCAGTAAATAAACATCATTTATGACATCAACTTCATATCAAACATCTTCAAATTTCTCACCATTAAGAAGCATTTTTTCCGTAAATTAGTATAAATTGAGACCGTGTATCTTCCGAGTCTTGTTATTGTAACTATACAGTCGTTAACATTTCAATCCGCAGACACAACTATTTTGCCTATAGCAAAGAATGTTAATTAAACATGAATTTCAGTTAAGAAGAAAGTGTTTTTTATTTGCCTCGCAATGCGCCACTTAACCTCTCGTCGGGTTAATCTAGCGTTACATCCCAAGACCCATACATTTTATTATTTTATCTATTTATAAAAGTAAAGCCTTATTGTTAGTAGTGGATGCTCACTTTTATACCTACCACCAGATACATTATACAAGTTAAATTTCGGTTAACTCGAGTTGCGGAACCGGGCCTTAAGCGGAGATTAAGCGGTTTAGGTCCGGTTCCACAACTTTCGATAGCCAGAGTTTAATTTGTTTACAGCAGATTTAAACCAGTTAAACTTCGGCTAACTCGAGGTATGGAACTGGGCCTTAAACCTGTTGTAAACCATAGAAACTTGGGTTAACTCGAGTTGTGAGACCAAGTTTAAATGGTTATGTTATACGTATGAGTCGTCGTTTTGTTTATGAACTGTTGTTGTCGTCGAGGTGGCATTGTTACGATGGAAGAAAATTGTCTTAAAATTGAAAATATTAATGCGTGTGAGAATGATGGAGATACTCTTTTGGTTGATCTTGTTAAAAGTTATGCTAATCTTTATGATAAGACCCATCGAGATTTTAAAGATTGCAGTATTCGTGAAAATTCTTGGGCTGAGATCGCCCGGTCTCTTAATTCGTCAGGTTGTCAGTTTATTAATTGTTGTTTTAGTTAAAATAGTAACAATTAATTGAACCTGACTGGCCTCTAAAGAAGAGCGGACTATAGATATTTGTTACTCCTTAATTATTTACTGTTGTTTTCAACCGTTTAGGTTGCGCACAAATGTTTCTTATGTTCTGTAATTTTTATACAATAGTGGAGAATTGTCAAATCCGGTGGAAAAGGCTACGAGAGCGTTTTGCAAGGGAAAGGAAAATGCTGGAAGAAGAGTCTGAAAGCGATGCTGCTGTGTTTAATAGGTCGAAATTCTTTTTATATGAAAGTATGAGTTACTTGAATGAACACGTTCAAAGAAGAAAGTAAGTGCTTGATCCATATTAGCATTCATTTCTATATTTTTTTATTTCATTACAAACTTGTAAGTAAACATGAAGTATAAAAAAAATGAAATTAATTTTAGGACAAAGAGAAGTATCTATCAATTAAACAGGCCCCCATTGCCAAAGAAGGCAGAGCCAGCACTACCAATTACCCAACCTTTACCCTCTTTGGTATCCCTTTTACCATCACCAATACCACCTTTACCATCAATTCCTTCAAGTTCAGCAATAGTACCTTTTCCTTTATCGACATTACTGTCACCTTCACAATCGTCAACGTCTTCGTGCTCATCAGGCTCATCACAGTTGGTCAGCAATGAAGGTATTACTAATAAAATGATGTAATTTTTTTTTAGGAATAGCTACTCTGAATGTATTATATTGTATGCATGCTAATCTGTTAGTAATCTAAAAAAATATGTTAACATTTTGTTTTTCAAACTACCCAAGTATTTCCAATCAATTCGGTATACTCATATACATTCACTATTCTGCATTACTTTGCAGAATTTATTTAAAAAAATTGTTAAGCTATCCAATATATTTAAAAGATCAAATATTAGAAAATAGTTGATTATAATTAATAATTATTTAATATTTCTGAAAAAGAGCCTCATGGGATTACAAAAATGTATCAATGTTAATTGCTCTCATTATATGATTTTAAAATGCATTAATTCAAGATTGAGTTACTATGACAAGGAAATATGAGAACATCGAATTTATTGGTGTTCAAAGGGTACTATGAATCATGATTTGTTTTTAAGTTGTGAAACCTTAATTTTCTAGATCTTCCTGATACCGTGCAAAGACCTCAGTCATGCAGTATATTTAAGAATTTTCATAGAAAGAAACGAAAAATAGATTCCTTGGAAAATAAAATGATTCACCTCTCATCAAATTTAGAGCAGATTTACAGAAAACTTGCCAATACTGTTGCTGAGAAGCAAGAACTGACAGCTGAAGATTACTTGGGAAAAATGATAGCGAGTACTTTAAAAGGGATGGATCAAGGAAAGAGGGCAAGAAAGATGCATGATTTAATAAAAGTGTTATATTCATAAAATATGTAAATAAAACAAAGTTTATTTTTCACAGATATATGAATTTCAAACAATAGCATACACCCAAAAATTCCTAGCATTACAGTCACAACCTAAATAAATATAGTACAAGAAATTGATCAGTAGTGAAAGGCTATAGATCTGGATTGGTATAACATATTATGCTAAGGCCTGCTTCAAACTGTGTTTGTTTTCTTGCTGGTTTGCTTGCAATATTGCCTTGCTGGCAGGTGGTACAGGTTTCACTTGAGAACAATACATGCCGGAGACAGGCTACTTATGCTGTTCCAAAAAAAAATCACTTACGACTCTAATTTTATGCATGGACCATTTATTTATTTGTTTAAATGTCATTTCTGTAATAAATCTGCATAAATCAGTCAGATAGTGTTGTTACCGAAATGTATAGTAAACTGGAAGACTCGCCACACTTCATAGGATGTTCAAACTTCCTACAGTTACCAGCTGAAAGACGGTTTACGAATTTATAAAAAAGAGCATTTTCCCTGGACAAAATGCAAAATGCAACAGATTAATGGAATGATATCGAAATTATAATGAAATCGAAATAAAAATAATAATGTACAGAATCTGTTACCGCTTAAACTACGTCTCCACCGTAGACTGTCGTGCACAGAGATGAGTTGGGAGATTGCTCACAGGCAGGGTCGCGCGATCGCATCGTGTGCTGCCCTCTGGTTTTG